ACAGTACAGTTTACGTTGATATTTCTGCAATGCTCTATGCTAAAGTTTGGCTGGCTTCACGTGTAAGACTATCTGCATCCGCGACCGTTATTTGGCTTTGACGACCGTATTTGATCCTACCAAGTTAATGCTTCCTGAGCTTTGACATTTTGGGCACTTTTTATAATGACACTACAATTTTCTTTAGCCTTTTTACTATTTTCAACCGTTGCACCTGCCCTATGATAGCTTTTTTCTTACCAAACTAACGCTGGATAATATGAGTGAATATGCGAGTTCCAGGAACCAGTTAAGTCGAAGAAGAAGAAGCGACCACTGGAACAAGAGTTTTATTTTCCAGACGTTTCGGATTTTCTGACTTCTGTTAATGAACCTTACTTTTCCTCTACACCTGCAGGTCCCGCGGAATCCTGAAAGAATGGCATCAACCTTGGTCGGCTCTAAGCGCCCTCTTACTCAATGTGCTTTCTGCCTTATTTTTCTCCATCGATCTGAACGACATTGTTAAAATAATTATTGATTTTTCCTTATTGCGAATCGGGACCATGATTTGAGGTTGATATCTCTGCATTGCGTCGTGTTATAATTGGACTACCTGCATCTGCAACCGTTTGTCCAAATTACGCTTCTTGTTTTCTGATAATGCGCCTTATTACTTGCCTACGTATACAGGTACCGCAGAATCCTGAGAAAACTATACTGGCAGTTGTCTTTTTTCCTTTGCCTTCGTACAAACTGAAGGACGTTTTGCGTATACATTGTTGTTTTTTCATATTGTTTTTACTGCATTCCGCATATCCATGAACTTGTGGGCATTAGAATATACTCTTTGTTAGAATCTTCACAAATGTCCACTGAGATAGGAACCATTATGACCAAAGTTCACACGTCAGAGTACAGTCTTCCCTTTGACTTGTCTTTCAGATGTCTTGCCCTTATATGTCTTTTGCTGCAGTTACTTTTTTAAATGTTGGTTGCTCTTCACTGCACTGTATTATGCTATTTTTTCTTTGCGCGATAAAAATCTTTAAGATAGCGGTCGCTGTTTCGGCAACACGTAAGACAACTTGCTCACATTTAGATTGCCCGATTTAATATTTGCATTTTTTGTTTGCATTAGGGCTCAGTTTTAGCTCAGGGTTAAATCTGGAAAATGGGAATAAGTACACCCATTCCACGTTTGAGCACCACATAAAAGAGGTGGCTTAACTCTAAAATCCGTTGGAACACGGAAATAGGTACACCATCTGGGATTGAGCGCAAAGTCGTATACAGAGCATCGTTTCATATGCTAGCAGAAATTTTAAGATGAATTCCCTAAACTAAATTTTCCCGATTTGCAGCGCAAGGTCATTTGGGTTATGGGTGAGGGTTTCTATCTGCCTGTACTACTGTTGTCCCTCAACTGACGCGTTTAAAAGCAACTAATTCCTTTTCAGGTGGAAATTTAAT